TTATTATTCCTGGTGGGAGGGCAGGACCAATGAGCTCATCATCTTTGCGTTCTCGATTGCTGATTGGTGGAAACCATCATCCAATCACAAAGTAGCTTGGTGGTCAGTTTTGGTCCTTTTTTTTTTTTTTTCCTGCTCGACAAAACCTCCAGAACTAACTACCGAAATTTACTTAGGTGACCCGATACCATTTTCGTTATCCGAGCCGGTTGCTTGTAGCGACTTCTCGGGTTGAGTTAAGCGTATTTTGTAAGTAAGACGGGGAGAGGGTTTGCCATATTGGCGTCCCAGAGGGAGCTAACCAGTGTTAGCTTTGGTCTAGTCATGACAACCAGAGGAACTGCCATCACCACAATCCTCCCCTGTGGCTTTGCTAGGATTAGCAGGTAAGTTGAAACTCGAACTCATTGTGGTCGCTCTCGTCTCGTCTCGGTGTGACGATGGTTTTAACCGCGGCCAAGTTAGTTTCGAGTTCAAACAAAACTGCTGATTGTCCGCAAACTGCTGCTAGCTGCTGGCTGGTAAATGGCGCAGGGTCAGGGTAACTGGGCTGAGCTAGCTGCCGTGTCGCTGGTTGTTGTGCTAACACAGCTGTATTCAACCTTCTGGGGGCGAAACGACTGGTAAATTGTTTAAAAAGCCTTGTGGTCGTGCAGATTTGACACCCACGTATGTTTAAACGATTGCTGATTGTCCTTAGCTGTCGCCTGAGTATGGCAGGTCGTTGTAACATATAATGCAACAACTCGACCATGTCTGAATGCTTTTAGAATGTCAAATTTTAATGCTAAAAATACATTTTAAATGTATGTAATACAGCAAATACAACTTGTATATGAGTGTCTCTGCAACTAAGATTAGGGAGAACTAATATTTCAAAAAATCTTAAAAATGGGTGGTGGTGGTTGGGGGGGGGGGGTCCTTTTTTAGTCCATTGTTTATTTTCATTTGATGATGGGTAAGTTGGAGGAAAATGAGTTGGTATTTCTATTGTTAACCTAGGAGAAGTGGTGTTTGTAAATCGTCAGGAACAGTCCACCATTGTTTAGAATGGTGTAGGAACATGCCCCTATGTTGCCTGGGGAAAAGGTTATACACAGCGAGTACATGCACCTCTTCATCTGAGCAGCAAATGCTACGTTCCAGTTGTCTTCGCAGGTCGGATTTTCGCATTTCTGAGTCGTAAAAATGAACTGAAACGGCCCCTAATGTCATAATTTAAAGTTGGGAAATTGGTGCGACACTGGAATGCTTTCAACTCGGAGCTGGCATCGGTCTGACTTCAGAATTTTGAGTTCMACTACAACTGGAAGGCAACAAAAGATAATGACTGATTGAGTAGTTTGTGATTTAGTAAGTGTAAAATAAAATAAAAGGTCCAAAACTCATAAAAACATCACCTCTAGAATAATTCATAATGACAATAATGTGCCCCCAGAATTATCTAAAAATGCCACGAGTGTATAGCATAATCCACTCGCTGTAAGACACTCATACACTTGCTGTGTTGTGCTGAACTTGCAGTGTTCATAAAGATGCAATAAACACTTGCAGTGTATTAGGGTTGGGCAATATTGGCAAAAAAAATAATCATGGTATTTAGCCGATAACGATTAATTTGACGAATAATCCCCTGGAGTCCCTGGACACCCTTATTTTGTAGTCACATGACCAATTTCGTGGGAAAGATTTGCTCTTTATAAAAAATTGTTCCAAATTGTGTGAAAATTACAGATTTCAGGCTACACATCAATTGTGTTGATAGATAAATAAATTACAGAACTTYATTTTTAATGTTCTTCATATYTGAAGCAGAGAGGAGCACCGAGCAGACTGACCGGAGTAATCCCCAGTCAGTCTGCCTGCCATTAATCGTATTAATTGTCAAGTGCCAAAAAGTAATCGATTAATGTTTTTCTGATGATTAATTACTACCCTACAATGTACAGTATATATCTTCATCCCTGCCAGTTCTTTCGCTATCTTTGGTTATCATTTTTACTGGAATAGTTGTAATGTCGGCTGTATTTTCACACTGTCACAGCCAGCAGCTGCTGACACTGCTCAAAGATCCGTATCTGTGGCCACTTTACATTTAAAGAAAACGCCTACAAAGTTCTGACCAATCACAAAATGCTTGGCACTAGGGATGCACCGATACCAGTTTTTCTCAAACCGAGTATGAGTACAAGTACTTCAGATTGGCTACTCGCCGATACCGAGTACCAATACGAGTAATTACAGAGTTATAACTTACTTAGTTATTATAATTTTAAGGTACTAGAGACGTTTGTAAAACCAAAAATTCGAGCAAATTTGAAGAACAGATGTAGTACTTCAGTCAAAGGAATATGTTTGTGGAATAATCTGGATAGTGATCATAAAAATGCTAGCTCAATTAATTTGTTTAAAAGAATGATAAAAGTCAATTTGCTAAAGAAATATGAAATCGTAAAATTTGTATTTATAAGAGCTGCTGTTTGAGGGGTTGAAGTTTTTGTTTTGTTTTATCAGGTATCAGTACATATCAGAGATGATTTTTTTTCTTCTTTCTGCTACCTTTCATTTTATTTGATTTGTATTATTTTGTTGTATGTGAATTTGTTTTGGTTTTAATGGAATTAATAAAAAGAAGATCTGGCACTAAATTAGAAACATGTCTAATGTCTGTCAAAATGAACCTCAGTTTAAACCAATGGTTTATCTTGGTCCTCAAGGACATTATCCTGCATGATTTAGTTGTTTCCCTGCTCCTCAGCAGGTTTTTAAGATCTGCAGAAGCTTTTCAATCAAATCAGATGTACCAAAGCAGGAAAACATCCTTGCAGGATAGTGGGCCACTGAGAACCACTTGTATTAAACAGTCATACCTCATTTCAGTCTGTGAGGTGGGGTTTACAGATTGATCCAAGTAATAATGATACTGACCTCAAGTAATGCAGTTTAAATCTTGTAGCACCACTCGTCTTCAGCTACAGAACAGCCATCCATCTCCTGGATGACTGAGAGTCCACATAATCATCTGATGATAGCAACATGTCAAACCRTGTCGAAACTAAAGTTCTGGATCAATACTTTTTGGATCACTTCCAACATGTGCTCAGCTACAGAAGTCCATTTGCTCCATGTTTTTCTTTGAATTTTCTATCTCCTTGATGAAAACAAAATCGTAGAAAAATTCTGATAATAGTGGTGTCGGACCGTGTTGAAACTAAAGTAGATCGACACTTGTGTTAGCTTCACTTGCAGCGCGTCACGTCGCTCACGTTTTATTAAATACAAGCTTCACCGGAGAGCATTCGACCACAGGGAGGTTAAAACATCAACAGTGAACTAAACAAGCACGTCAGATAATTATTTTACTGGTTCTGATTGAATACCAACTTCAGACAAAGCTAAGAATAGCATCCACCATAGCAACCCGTTTCCTCCTGTAAACAGTGAACGGCATGTGACGGTGCGTCGCTTTCATTCCATAAAATACACTCTTCATCGAAGCAGTCGACCACAGGGTGGTTAAAACATAAACAATAAGCTAAACAAGCACGTCAGATAATTATTTTACTGGTTCTGATTGAATAACAACTTCACAATCAACAAGCTAAGAAGTAGCATTCACTGTAGCAACCTGTTTAATCCTGTGAACAGCGCATGCACGTCACATCGACGGTAGTCTGGAAGTTGTATTTAAAATGTGAATTTCCTTGACAAAAAAGGTATCGGTTCAGTGTATCGGGGCATTTTGAACGAGTACAAGTACTTGTGAAATGCTGGTATCGGACCCTATACTGGTATCGGTGCATCCCTACTTGGCATGTAGTGCTGTGATGACTAGTTTTTACTGGGGGCAATGCACAAGAAGGGGTCTCAACATGTGGTAAAAGTAGCAAAGTATGTCATTTTTGTCACACACCCGCATAAGAGAGATATGAAAATGGACCGTCTCATTGACAATAAATCAAGATTTGGTGTTTGTGTTCAGGCTCACTGTCAGCTACTACTACAAACCTCAAACTTTATTTTGATATATGTAAAATTTCTAGTTTTCTGGAGTAGTTTTTCTATTTGCATGTCTAAAGTGGAAAATTTGGACAAGTATTAGTGGAATTGTAGATATCTGAGATTTGAGTTTCAGCTAATAAAACATTTATATGTTGCCTCTGTAGGAAGAATGCTCTTGTAGCTATCAGGACTGAACAGCTTAATACACCTAAATAGTAAAGTGGTAATGCCACTTGTCACAATGACATTTCAGATAACAGAAATGGTAATGGTGGAATGGAAAAATAGTTTTTGGGATATCTGAAAGTTGTTTTTATTCTAGTTTTTGTCTTGACACTCTTGTTTTCCAGGCCTCCATTATGGACTTCAGATGCAAGCTTACTGCTCCCAGATGGATGATTATCACATCTGTGTTCTACATCTGGATCATGCACATGTACCCATGGGAATCCTCTCGCATCCCTGCAGGTTATTTCCATTTAAAAAAATCATAATACAAAAGAACAAACACTACTGTTTAAAGCTCTTGAGTCATATTTCATTTTGTTTGGCGTTACCTAAAGGAAACTATTGTTTGTTTGTTTGTTTTTGTTCTAAAGTGGCCACAATAGTTCCCCTAGCCTTCAGGTCTTTCAGAGTTTTCTTTTTAACATTTGTCTTTTGGCACTTTCTAACCTTCTAGCTAGGGCTGGGTTAAAAAAAATTGATTTAATCGATGTGGATCGATTCTCTTTCAAATTTGGGAAGGTTGATTCATAAGTCACAAGATCTAGTTTTTTCCCCATGGGTGTTGTGTGCGATGAAGCTGCACGTTTCCGTGTTGTGTGTCACTCCTGGCTTGCCGTAGGTTTACATCCAGTTGACGGTGAGTGCTAATGTTAGCTTCCGACAACAAGTTGTCTGGGACAAAACAAAAGAAACTAAGCAATCACTAACATTACAGCTGATTCTCAGCTGAACTGAAAGACAACAGAGGCCATGACAACTTTTGCTTGCAAAGATTTGCGCTCCGACGCGGTAGCGGGAAACGAAGCTCCGAGTGGCTGGTTCCGGTCGTCGGACCAAAACTACGGTATGTAAACATCTGACTGAAACTGTTCTCCTCGGCGTGTATAGATGTGTGAAAGATGACAGTCTACAAAATCGTTTAGTTTTGTTACAAGTATTATTTATAAGTTTTAGAAACATCTTAATGAAATTCACAGTGATGGAAGGTTTTAGCTGAAGTACTTTTTTTCAAGCTTTCTTCTTGTTAATAAGTTTTATTGAACAGAAGGTAACAGCGACATTACAAATATACAATTTTCATACTCTCAAAAGAGTGGGCAGAAGTAAACACTTATATTAGCCCACCTTTTCTCCTGCAACCTTATTCCCATCACTTCTTAGTGATCAAGAAAATTATTCTTAGTTTCTTAAAAAAGCTAATGTATCCAACACGTTCTCTTGCAATTCCTTTTTAGCTTAAACCCTTTGAAACTTAAGACAGTTTTGTTTCAAAATTAAACTCCAATTTACTAGTTTGCCTTAATGTTTATAATTTTACCAATGCACCAAGTTAGAATTAGTTTCTACTATTTGCAGAATTATTCTTATGAGAATGCCTTCTATATCAAAGTAAATGTGTTACTGCATGATATCCTTAACTAATTTAAAAATCAATCAAACTGAATCGTGAATCGTCCTGAAACGAATCGAATCGGGCCCCTGTGAATCGAATCAAATCAATTTGGGAAATCTGAATCGAGACCCAGCCCTACTTCTAACTCAAAAGATAAATGGACAGACAACTAGAATAAGACTGAACATTTGGCTTTTAGGCACTTTTGATTGTAGCAGCCTGTTGCAAAGACGTTTAATCAGTTAAATGTCTTTAAATTTGGGGAAAAAACATCTGTTAATTCTTTTTCTTCAAAAGTTTTATTCATAAAGATAAATCTATCTGTGTCTTATTATTGATTTGCTGTTTTTAAGTGTGGCTCAGCCTGCTTTTCATTTGCAGTGGGATGGGCCGTATTCATTTCATGTCATGTCAGCCTACTCTGCAGAGAGAATCCTGAAATTTCTTCAGAGCATCAGTTCCTTTTTTCTGTTCTTTTTCAGCTGTTTCATTTTTTTAAAGATTGTCGTCAAGTTTGCAAACCTGGGAAAAGTAAACTCTGTGAACCTTTGTTTTTTTTTATTGTTATTAAATTTATTTAGAAGGCTCATCCTTCCACTAATGACCTAATTTGACAATAGGGGTACACAAGGAAATGACTTAACTCATCTTCATTTTGTTGTGTTTTTTTGTAAAGGATTGAATCTATGACTTTTTCTTGCAGCATTTCAGAAATGTTCACGTTGGATTTGTGGTCACTTCTGTGATTGATAAATAATAGTAATTTGTTTTTCAAATATGGTAACTACCCTGACAGCTGGTGCTTTATAGTGAAAAATGCAGCTTAAGCTAGAAATGTCAGCAGAAAAAAGTGGAACATGCATTAACCAACAAGTCACCAAGTTAACTTCAAATTGTCACGTCACTCAAAATGTTTACACTTCCATGAGGAGGCAGGACACCTCCTCTGAGGAGGCAGGACACTTCCTCTGATGGTCAACAACAAGAAGAAGCTAYACTTGGATGAAAGGACCACAGAGACACACAAAGTGATAAATTAAACAGTTTGTATCAGTGTGTGCGTTAATAGATTTAGATTAGAAGCTACAATTCGTTGTTGATAGCTGGACTCTTGAAGGAAAATAATTTTGTCATGTTATTGGGGGGAGGGGGTGTATAATGTTTATGTTTGGGACTCCTGATGAGTTTGAAAATATAAGTTTTACAATTTTTTTCTGGTATTTTACAAAGAT